TGTGGGATAATACTCCTTATTACAGCCAAGGTTATTTCTCCTGGGCTAGAGCAGCAGCAGCTCAGGACAGTGGAAAGAGTGCAAGGTCTACAGACAGACACACTTAGACTTGAATCCTGTGTGTGCCATATTCTATCCGGGTCACCCTGGGCATGACACTTATACTGTCTGATATGCAGTTGCTTTATCTGTAAAATGGAAGTTTTGCTGGGATGTGAAAATGTTGTCAAGGGGCTGGCTATCAGTCCTAAATTCAGATTTTGGAGGCCCCTACACATGAAAGATGATGTCACTCCCCAAGATGTAAATCAGATTAAAACAAAGTGAAACTGCAAAGAATGAGAAAATATAGACAGTTGTGATTTTTCTACTAATGATGATATTGATTCCTTTTCGCATTTTTGAATTATCAATTTGCTTTAGGGCAGCGAGACCTCATCTCTACAATAAATCAAAAAATTAGCCGGGCGTGGTAGCACGCGCCTGTAGTTCCAGCTACTTGGAAGGCTGAGGCAGAAGGATCGCCGAAGCCCAGCAGGTCGAGGCTGCGGTGACCGGGAGCGGCCACTGCACTCCAGTCTGGGTGACAGAGTGAGACTCCAACTCAGAAAAAAAAAAAAAAGAAATTATGTTTAGTTCTCTTGCTCTGCTGGAGTAGCAGGTATGGAAAGCCCTGCTTCCGGTTTTACCTTTACCTTTTTTCTGAACTCTCATACCAAGATGAGGAGGTGGGTGTATACTTGGGTAGAACCTTGTTCTTTCCAAATCATGGTCTTTTTGTTTTCTTTTTAATTTTCTTTTTCTTTATTTCAATAGCTTTACGAGTACAAATAGTTTTTGGTTACATGGCTACATTGTATGGTGGCAAAGAAGTCTGAACTTGAGGTGTACTCACCACCCCTACCTGTGCACATTGTACCAGACAAGCGATTTTCATCCTCCCCACCCTCCCCCTTCTGAGTCTCCAGTATCCATGATACTATTCTCTACATCTTCGCAGGTCCTTAATTTGGCTTCTACTTATAAGTGAGAACCTGCGATGTTTGGTTTTCTGTCATTGCTTGCCTACTACTCTCTCTTCCCAGAGACTGTCAGCTCCACAAGGGCAGGGACCTTGGGGTTCTGAGTCCCCGTTCTGTCCCCAGTGCCTAGCAATACAGTACAATACAGTCCACTGAATGAATGACTCCTCTGAGCTCAATTCTACACAGACAGTTCACTGGGTCCTCCAACTGGGGTTCTCTGCTAGGGGGACTCCCCTTACAGAGGATGGACACACACACACACACACACACACACACACACACACACACACACACACACCAGGGCACCAACATGAGGGGCATTTCCGGAGGAGGAAATAGTATTCAGATTGTACATCTCTTGCAATGCTGAAGAAAACAGTCTAGAAACAGGACCCAACTCATTTTGAGACAGAATTGGGACCCACACGGAAATGGTAGGGAGGAAGGTGTGGGCTCTTTGGGGACAAACTTTTCGTAATTATTTCTGCCTGCCAGTGAAGCAGGATGCCTCAAAATGTAGCGGGCTCCCCAGCAGAGGAGGTAGTCAAGTGGAGACGGGCCAGTTGCTTGTCAGAGGGGATGATATACCAGGAATTCCTGCATCAGAGGAACTTTGGACCAGATTACTTCTGTGTGTTCTGTTCTCAGGCACTGAGAGTAGTCAGTAAATAGCAATTCCTCTTTTGTGTAATCCAAACAGCCTGCACTTGGGATGAGAATATCTAGTCTTGCTCTGCCTTTACCACCCACCAGCCTGGTGGTTGTGTTGTCACCATACACAATCCATGTTTGCTGTTTCCTTTTCTGTTTTCTTTTTTTTTTGACACAGTGTCTGTCACCCAGGCTGGAGTATAGTGGCACAATCATAGCTCACTTCAGCCTCAAACTCCTGGACTCAGCAATTCTCTCACCTTAGCCACCCCAGTAACTGGAACTACAGGAGCGTGCCACCACACCCAGGCAATTTTTAAAAAATTTTTTGTAGAAATGAGGTCTCATTCTCATTGTGTTGCCCAGGTTGGCACATATGCCCTTTCTGAGGCACTCTCCACACTCTGCTCTGCCTGTTTGTCCAGGGGGAAGGTTGAAGTGAACCTTTGTGGACAGGGCTGAGTGCGATCTCTGGCTTCTGGCTGAGTGTGGCCAGTGGAGGGACTGCCTAGAGGTAAAGGAGTGAGAGTGGAAGAGGAAAGAGGGTTGGCCATTTCCCAGAGGTCACTCAAGCCAAGCTCCTTCAGGCAGACTCACTCATCACCCTCTCACGGTTCTGATCACTGCTCGCTACCCCTCCCCTTTCAGTCCTAGGGATGTGCTCACCCTGGGGTTCTTCACTATCCAAGTCACTTTCCCTTAATAGGCCACACCTGTCAGGTATCCCCTTCCCTAAACCTTCCTTTAGCATCCTGTTGAAGGGCGCCGTCTATTTTCTGCACAACCTTAGCATCTCTGGGCCTCCATCTCCTCACTTGTAAAGGGAGTTATTTAAATTGCCCAATTCTGAGGTGGTTGTGAGCCTGACATGACTTGGAATACATGCAAGCTCCTAGCAGAGGGCCAGGGCAAATGCAGGGGGATGCAGGTGTCCCACAAGCCTTCCTTCCAGGGCCACTAACTTCCTTTATGCCAAAGCATACCACCTCCTCCTGGGTGGGTCCTCCACATTCTCTCCAAGCCTGTGCTTTTGCTGACGTGAGTTATAGTTTTCCAACCATATGTTCATAGTGGTTCCTCTTCAGGGAGCTGGTCCACCAGCCACACCTGCCCTCCCTACCAGCCACGTCCTTGTCCTCATGAAGGTGTCCCTCTCTCGCCACCTCTTCCTAGCTGCCTACCTGCAGAATGCCCAACTGGCCCTCCCTGCACTCCAATCCCGATGGTGGCCTGTGGTTTATTCCTCCAAGGGTCCTCTGCTACCCTGTCCAGGGCACAGCCAGGAGTGAGAAAACCCGGGCAACCAACATGGTCAAAGGGACCTGCCATGTTCCCTCTTATTTCAAAATAGACAGTGAAAGTAAATCATGAAAATCCGTAATCTTCCCCACTAATGAAAATACTTGATAGATGTGTGTGTGTGTGTATTTTAAATCTTGCTCACACACATGTGTGTGGTCATAATCATAGTGTGCCTAGCATGATATGCTGAACTTGAACTTTTCCACATGCTCTCATCATACCTTCCCGTGTTTCCAGACAGCCTCCACAATGGTCCCCGTTAGTGCTATGGAGTCGTCGATCAAGAAATGAATACGCAGGAGTTACAGAGTCACTTCTTGTTATAGCCCATTTTTGCATGGAAAGCTTTCATTTCCCTCCCCTGAATAATGTCCTTCATACAACCCTAGCAGCTGGGTGACCACCCGGAAGAGTGTGAGCATGTCCATAGTTCCACCATAGTGCTTTCCAGAACAGGTGTGTCTGTTCATACTTCCCCAGCAGTGTGTGATGTAGTAGTTTCAACACAAAGTCACCACATTAAACACGTTGTTACCAACTTAGCAGGTAAAAACCTATACTTCAAAGGGTGTTTTAATTTTATGTATTTATTCATTTGTGATTTTTTGAGATGGACTCTTACTATGTTGCCAAGGTCTCAAACGCCTGGCCTCAGCCTCCTAAGTAGCTGGAACTACAGGTTCACGCCACCTGACCTGCTGTGTTTATTTTGATTATTTTAATGGTGAAGTATTTCTCTAACTTGCTCATTATATATATATCTATTATATTATATATGTGTGTAAAATGCAATGTATTGTATGTGTATTTATCGATTTATTTATTTTTGCTTGAATTTTCTGCTTGTATCCTTTAAATTGAGGCAATGGGTAATTTCTATTAGTCATTTGAATTGCATAATAATTTTTTGCCTGTCTTCCTTACTGACGTTTAGAATTGTAGAGGATCCTGTCATTTGACCCTTTTTTTTTTTTTTTTTTTTTTTGAGTTGGAGTCTCACTCTGTCGCCCAGACTGGAGTGCAGTGGCCGCTCCCGGCCACCGCAGCCTCGACCTGCTGGGCTCCAGTGATCCTTCTGCCTAGCCTTCCGAGTAGCCAGAATTACAGGCACACGCTACCACGCCCGGCTAATTTTTTTATTTTATTGTAGAGATGAGGTCTCGCCTGCCCAGGCAGGTCTCGAACCCGCGGGCTCAGGCAATCCACTCACCTCAGCCTCCCAAAGGTGCGGGATTACAGGCTAAGCCACCGAGCCCGGCTTGACCCCATTTTTAGGCTCTGAGCTATAGGCTTCACCAGTCCTTGAATGCAATCCAGTTATCTTGTTTTAAAACTTAGAGCAGCCATTTTCTCCAAGTTTTTTGCTTTTCCCTCATGGAGCAGGCTGTATAGAGAGGAACAAAGCGCTTTGGAGTCACAGGGTCAAGTTCCCCATCTCTGTTCCATCATGACCCCTTGTCGGTTGGCTGACACTGACAACCCCTTAACCTCTTTGAACTTCAGTGTCTCAATTTTAACATGGAGGTAAAGTGAGCACTCTGAAAGCTTCGTATGAGGACTGGCTGAGATCGTGTAAACACCTTCCAGATTCTAAGTAAGCATTAGCTAAGGCTCACTGCTTCATCCAGCATTTAACCCAACGGCTTTTCTGAATTTTTCCTTTAAAAATTTCTTTTAGTGTAGTATATTTTTACCCTAAATATAATGAAGTCATACATCAAAACTGACTTCTTAAATAGTTCAATGTGTTGCAGCCTAAGCTTGAAAATGCAGGGCATTCATCAGAGCATTAAAAATAAAATAATGAAAAATGAAACCTGCATAATGAATATTTGTATACCTAACCCTGAATTTTGCCCTACAAAGAAGAATTAAATTTAAAAAAAAGAAAAATGAAAAACAACTTAGAGATCCATTGGGTGTTGCCCACTGTGACTTTAGAGTGCAAGAAAAGTCCAGACTTAGCTCCACTGACACCTCTTCTGTTCTTCATGACTCTCTCTTTGTTGACTTGTTTCACAGGCAGCTTCAGCAACAGCAGGCAGAATTGGAAGTGCACCAGAGAGATGGGCTGTCATCCTATGACTTATCTCAGGTGACTTTCTGGAGAACTTTTTCCCATCGGGCACTATCTCCAGTCCCATGGCCTGGTGACTCAATTTAGCTCTTAACTTGAGCCCTTGAGCCCAAAGGGTGCTGTTGTCCCATCCACTCACTACAGCGCAAAGAGTCCACCTCCAAGTGCCCTGGGGGTCTGTTGTGACTCTTCCCTGCAGAGCTGAGCCACAAATAATATAATATGAAAGTCATATGAAGACCAGATGAAGAACTGGGAGCCAAGTCACCCGGCACTGAGAATTCCAAAGAACTGATGGACATCTCAAGAGGCCTTGTTTGAACTCTCATCCTAACATACTCAGAAGCCAGCAAGAGCAGCTTCTGAAACCTTCTCACTGCCTTTTGTCTGTGTTCCTTCCTTCCTCCGGGCACCCCTTCTGATGGTGCTCTGTCTCCCTCTTCACCCGCCCTGCTGTCTCCTATCCTCCGTGCCCCCTTCCTTCCTTTCTCCTCTCACCACTTCTGGTGACAGCCAGACAGAGAAACAGCAGCATGTGTCAGCATCCGGCCTCTTTGTAAATTAAACTTCATGTCCACTTTTCCTCATATTTAGAATTAAGTTGATTGTTTCTCATTTGTCTCTCTCTAAGAAAGTAATCATGTGACTGTTGTCCTTGCTGTGACCTTCAGTTCACAACCCTTCCTCAGCTGTTCTTGGCTTTCACACATAGAAAAGCTTCCCACTCTATAAAAACCATTCCAGCCCCAAATGCCATTGATTCTGAGTGAGGAGAGGGGATGACTCCTGGGGGGGCGGGGGCGCACGTGCTGTGCCTCACACTTGGGTTGCTGTTGTGTTTGCATGTGCAAACAGGTCCCCGTCCCCAACCTACCAGCTGGCGTTCACGAGGCCGGGAAGTCCGTGGAAAAGGCAGATGCAATCTTCTCCCAGGAGAGGGATCCTCGATTTGCGGAAATGTTTGCAGGAATCAGCGCATGTAAGTTTCCACGTGGCACTGGGGTTGTGGGGATGTGAGGTTTACGACTGCCTTAAGGCCATCTGGAGACAGCCCCCCTTAGAGACGGGGGGCCACGGATGGTGAGTTCTGAGTAACGGTGACAAGACACAAAAAGAGCCCTGCACAAAGGAATTGGACTGGATCCTCTCGACAACCGGTCTTGCCTCTTATGTACCGGTTACCCGGGGCCACCAACCAGGGGTCCTGGCATCTCATCTTTAACATTTGAAGAGTTGGAATAAATGAGCTCTGTTATTCTGCTATGCAGTTTAGCTTTATTAAGCCAAAGGCATGTTTCTGTGAAAAGTTGCACCTTAATCTCTAACAGAGGACCAGGTGTTAAAATTAAAATGTGCGGTAAGAATAAAAAAAGACTCGCTATCCCACCAACTGGATATAACCATTTTTAACTTTTTAAAGTATGTTCTTTCTTTTTCCACACATACATATTCTTTTTATGTATGAAATTGAGCTCATACTATTTGGTAGCTCACTTTTTTTCACATGACAGTTTATTATTAACATATTTCCAGATCATTAAACAATGTAATCATTTTTCTCACTTGCTTAGCGTCCACTCTGTTAATCCTTTGTGGCTGTTATTAGGCTGTCTACCTATGTCACTATTGCCATTGAAGAGGGTGCCATTCTAATTTAAGGTGTCACATGAAGACCACATGTCTAGATGCCTAACCCTCCCACTCAGATTACCACTGAGACTAGCAAAATATGCAGTTTGAAAAGGTATTTGTCGGCTCCAAAATCAGAAAAAAGGAAAAAACCCTCCATTTTCTTGTGGTCAAGGAATTTTTGCAAGGTGCAATGCAACTGGGATCCACTGAAGGGAGAAACCAGTTCACTGGTAAAAAGGAAGCACGAGGAACTCTGTCATTGGAGGGGAACCCCAGTCACATCCCACTGGGACTAACGAGCTGAAGACAATGTGGATTGAGTTGAAGACAGACAGGCATCCAGGCTGTGGGAAGGAAGTGTGGCTCAGTCCTCCTGATGCCAGCATGTTGGGGGAAGGTGAAGCCTTCATTCCCACCTAGCTGGGGACCGAAAGCCCAGGAAGCAGAAAGGGTACCAGAACTGTACCAACTCCAGGTGTCCACACACAACAGAAAACAGATCCCTCAACATAACAGAAAGTTCCTGCTGTTGGTTCCCATGGCTGTCCAAGCATATCACCCACCCCCTCAATGTTTCCTCGGTGTTTATAGAGAAATACCATTTCATCCAGTAATATGAGACAAGAGTACGTCTCCAAGGCTTTTTCTTCTCTCAAGTAAGCCCAAATGTTTGCCCAGAGACCTATAGCATCTTGGAAAAATCCATTTGAACTTTTGGTATGATATAAATGTAGACACCTTTCCATAAAGATGACAAAACAGAAAAAAAAAAGAAAAAGAAAAACCTTGCTGGGCTTGGTGGCTCCGCCTGTAATCCCAGCACTTTGGGAGGCTGAGATGAGTGGATTGCCTGGGCAACTTGGTGAGACTTCGTCTCTACAATAAATCAAAAATTAGCTGGGTGTGGTAGCACGCACCAATAGATCCGGCTACTTGGAAAGTTGAGGCAGAAGGATTGCCAGAGCCCAGCAGGTTGAGGCTGCGGTAGCCAGGAGCATGCCACTGGGCAACAGCGTAAGACTCCAACTCCAAAAAGAAAAACCCAACAGACAAGAAAAAAGAAGAGGAAAAAGGATCCGATAGGATAATCAGAACAAATGTCCTCCTTTGAAAATGAGTTTCTAGCCAGCCTTGGTAGCTCAGCCTGTAATCCCAGTGCTTTGGGAGGCTGAGGTGAGTGGATTACCTGAGCCCACGGGTTCAAGACCCACCTGGGCAACTTGACGAGACCTCATCTCTACAATAAATCAAAAATTAGCCGGGCATGGTAGCACGCACCTATAATTCCAGCTACTTGGAAGGCTGAGGCGGAAGGATCGCTGAAGCCCAGCAGGTCGAGGCTGCAGTGGCTGGAAGCATGCCACTGCACTCCAGTCTGGGAGACAGAATGAGACTCCAACTCAAAAAAAAATAAGAGTTTCTATGATAAAGAGGGGAAAGTTCAGAAAATCTTCAGTATCTCCTCTCTTGGCAGCTCTAGGATGTCACTGCGTTTCTGAGAATGAGTTACTTGAGGTGGAAAAAGAGTAGAGTGTTTAACCAAAAGGGCATCTGTACAAAGAATGCTAATGTTGCAGAAATCCAAGTCAGTGAATTTGAAAGGAACATGAATTTTCCCAACATGCAAAACTTGGGTCTTTCAAGTGAAAGAACTCCACGAATATTAGACAAAAACTTTTAAAAAGCTCACACCTAGATGTAGTCTGTTGTATTTACTTTTTTTAATTTGAAGAGTAAGGAAAAATCCTGCAAACATCAAGAGAAAAAAAATGTACCTTACCTACAAAAGGAAAATCTTTAGTTAGACTTTTCTAAGATACTAAATGCCAGAAGTCTTGTAGGAGGGAGCAGGAAATAACTGGAGAATTTGGATAAGATATGTGACCCCAAAATTTCCTCACCAGCCAGACTACTTTCATATATGGGGAACAACAGAAAGACGTTCTCAGAAATGTACTTTTGCCTTATATTTCCTGAAAAAATTACTTGCAAAAGATTGTGCTTGTTTGTGGAAGGAATCTAAGTATAGAATGTAAGAATGTAAGTAATAGGTTTGAAAAGCAATGGGGATTACAAAAATGAAACTAGAAATAACATAAAAAGTATTAGAAGATACAAAAAATACAGAGGATGCCCCAGAAAATATACACATTTTAAGAAAAGAAAAATAGCCGGGCTTGGTGGCTCAGCCTGTAATCCCGCGCCTTTGGAAGACTGAGGTGAGTGGATTGCCTGAGCCCACGGGTTCGAGACCCTCCTGGGCAGGTGAGACCTCATCTCTACAATAAATCAAAAAATTAGCCGAGCGTGGTAGCGCGCGCCTGTTATTCCGGCTACTTGGAAGGCTGAGGCGAAAGGATCGCCAGAGCCCAGCAGGTCGAGGCTGCGGTGGCCGGGAGCGGCCACTGCACTCCAGTCTGGACGACAGAGTGAGACTCCAACTCAAAAAAAAAAAAAGAAAAGAAAAATATATGCCAATAACAAAAGATGAATACAAATCACACTTGACTTCTGCAATTACAAGAATTGCTCAAAGTGGTTACTATCAGCATCCAGACACTTATGAAAGGTACTTCGGAAAGTAACACATCTCTTAAATGTAACATCTCTTAAAATATGTCTACATTTTTTCTTGGCATCTTCCATATAAACAATAAATAAAAACTAGAATCTAAAACCTCAAATCCGTAAAGCAAGATCCAGACACATTTTGAAATAGGGAGAGTAAATAGGTAGAAATTTCTCATCAATATCGACTTTATCTCTGACACCTATAGAGGAATACAGTTTCAAGTATGTTTAAACATTACCACTAATAGAAAGGTGGGGGAAGGAAAGAGGGAAGGAGGGAAAGAAAAGGAGGAAAAGAGAAGAGGGAGGGAGGGAACTCGGTGCTTCCAAATCATTTCCAAGGAAAGACAAGAAAATTTTTAGCAAATCACAAAATACTCAGGAAAAAAAAAATGAAATGAGGTAGCCAGAAAGTATGAATATCAAGTGTGATAAAATAAGTTGACTCCCAGGCAACAACTCCTGAATAATATGTAATATATTGCCAAAATTTGATATAACCCAAACAAAACAAAACGCACAATTTAACCTGGAAGAATGGTGGATGGAAGTGCTCTGCGAACCCGAGAAGGAAACCCGAGAAGGAAAGTTATTAGTGTCGCCAAAGAAAAATTCTGTGTCCTGTAAGCAAAGAGGCTTAATTTATACAGATCCGAGGTTCAGATGAAGATATAAGTGTCCTGAATGTTGAAACATGTGAAAACCAAAATAATTAGAAGCCCAAGAAGATGCAGACACAACCAAATTGCAGTGGAAGCTCTCGGTAGGCCTTCCTCCATCTTTAGCAGATCAAATATGTCAAAATAATTCTAAAAAGTTAATAAAATGGAAAAAAAGAAGACTGAAAAACAGAACCAAAGAGCTGTGTGTGTGTGTGTGTGTATAATTTTATACCCTACAAATGTCTTAGGGTAGTTAGAAAAAAATTTGTTTCAACCCAAATCAAAAAAACTTAAACACATGAGTGAGAAAAAAATGACTTCCACCTAAGTCTACCTTCTTCCTGCAAGTTGGAGCCTCAGCTCTTCCCCACTCCAATCTTGCTGTTTATTCCAAAGATTCAAAGCTTTACTAAAGGGCTAGAAATGCAAAGCCCACAAGTTTCTGCCATGTTGAAGGATTTCCTGCTCCACAGCCATCATTATGGCAGAAGAAAACCATAAAAACAGCTCAGTGACGCCTCTTTATCAAAATGTCCCAGAGCTTGTTACCATGCATGGGATATTTGGCACGTGGTCCCTGCAGCCTGGCTTCTCAGCCCCAAGTCCACAAGCCTGAGTGTCCCTCACGGCATTATCGCTCATATCCCCTCAACAGGGACAGATGTGGGTTTTATCTAGTCATAAAATAATAGCTATATAGCTAAGCTTTACTTCCTCTACTCTAGGGTCTTACTGCGGGTAGGGATGCTAGGGATTGCAGGATTGATACGGGTGGGTACTTTGAAATTCCGGGGAAATGGGAAGGCCCTTCAGAGAGCCCTGGGCCCTTCAGTGACCAGAGGAAGAATGCTGTCTCGCAGTCCGTCCACTCATACTCCCACTCATCCTCAAACAACCACAAAAGTTACCTTCTTCCTCGTGTAAGATCTAAATAGTCTTCAGCCTCTCTCTGTAGGTGAGGTGGCTGAACTGAGTCCTCTGCTGTCCATTCTATAGTGGCAGAAAATCGTGGATTGTTATACATGCCACCAGGCCTCAGTGTTGTTCTGTTGCATAAGGAGCTTGGCCTCTCAAGGAAACCCTCATGGAAGTCAAGGCACACAGGTCTAGGGCTGGCCCTGGTTAGTCAGCCTGTGGCCCCCCAAAGCACATGCTAGATGAGGGCAGCAGGGGTGGGCAGGGTTCTGGGGCAGTGGGAAGAACTCTGGACTTGCACTCAGGCCCTGGGTCCTCCCTTGCCTATCCGTGACCTTGGACAAGCTGTGCCCCCATTTTCTCATCTGCAACAAATGACAACAAATGTTTCAATGCCGTGTGCTCACTTTAGTCATGCTAACACACTGAATTCCCACAACAGCCCTGTGAGGAAGGTACTATTATTATCGCCTTCTTTCAGTTGGGGAAACTGAGGCCGAGGACAGTTAAATATGTCCAGAGTAACCCCTCTGATAATAGAGTGGAGCTAGGGTTCGAACCCAGGGAGCTCAGCCTGTCCTTTTCACCATCATCCTGTGCTTCCTGCCCCAGAAGGTAAGGACCTATGATGCCCACTCTCCCTGGGTTGGGAGGGTTGGATAAAATAATAGCAGAGGAAGAACTTTCAAGTTTCCTTAATCTTCTCAACTCTCAAAAAGGGCCTTGCCTTCAGGCAGCCTGTGGCCTGGCCTAGAGGTCAGGTCCAGCAGCCCGATGCTCTCACATGCCAGGGAGGCTCCAGGGGAGATGAGAATGCAAAAACGAGGGCAGATAGGCTGCACATAGGCTGCCCTGGACGTGTGTCTTGCTCCTCCACTCCCACCCCGGGACCTGCTCTCGGGGCTGTTTTCCCTGTGGCCTGCAGGGAACCCTCTCATGTGACTCCTGCTCTGTCTTCCTAGCGGAGAAGAAGATGATGAGTTCGGCCTCTGCCACGGGAACCCAGCAGATCTACTCCCAAGGAAGCCCGTTCCCCCCAGGACACTCGGGGAAGGCCTTCAGGTATGTGCCAGAGTGGGAGCCCAGTGGGGCAGGAAGATGTCCCCTGGCCAGGGAAGCCCTGATCATAGCTCAGATCATAGCTCTGGGACTGCAGACATCAGTGAGTGATCATGGATCCGCAGGCCCTGGGCCCGGCTGGCTGTGCTCTGTGAGCCCTCCGTGAGCTGCCATCAGTGCCTGGGTCCATTCCTTTTTCTCAGATGTGAAAGGCAGCAGCCACTGTTTCCTGTAGCAGTGCCTGCCTGGGAGAAGGGAGTGAGTTGGCCTCTAGCCAGGATGCAGATGAAGAAGAGCCGGGGATAGCTGACAAGATAGAAGGAAGTATCCCAACCCTTGGCTCCCAGAGGTCCCAACCAAGTCCAAGGAGGAATGGACAACTTGGCCCATCATGTCTGGGCTTCAGCCTAAAGAGCACTCAAGGGTGCAGGCAGGAGACCAACCTTCACAAGGCTTGGTTCTTAGTATCGAAGACATCTTGTAGGTCCTTGAGGAAGCCCCGACATGGTCACTGGAGACGAGGCCTGGCTCCAGTGACTGCTGGGAAGATGGGAGCACAAACTGAGAAGAACAGCCAGAGGAGAAACTGACAGCTCTAGGGGTGGGTATGCAGGCACTCACATGTGGCTACCAGATGCCCCCAAGTTCCCTAGGAGAAGTATACCAGGCCTCGTGCCCAGCAGGGCTGAGCTCCTCATCCCACTCAGCCATGAGTGAGCCTGATCAATACCTACCAGAGCTTCCAGATTCAGGCAGGGATAGGACGGGGCAGGTGAGGCCGCCACCCAGGGAGAGGACCCTGCCAAGGGACTAGGCGCAAGGGATGAGTCTCTCATCCACACTGGTCCATGGGCAGACATTCCTAGAGAAGCAGCAGGTAGCTCAGGAACTGTGACCTGGATTCACAGACACTGCAGTGGCTCTGACCAGGCTGTAGCTGGGCCTCACTGGAAGGAAGCCTGCTCAGAGGCTCCTGGGACCTCTGGCTTCAGGCAGGCACTCTCAATCTAAGGACAGCAGGATGAGATGGCACCCCTCGTGAGAGCCCCTGAATCATCATCACAGCAGGTCAGCAGAGCAGCTCTGGTGCTGCCGGGCTCCTCAGCCACTCAGCAGATGTTGACCAATCACAGTCCGTGCCGGGCCGTATGACAGCCCTGCATGGGCACTCATGTTCATGGGGTCCTTGTGACATTTGCTGCTTGCCCCCCTTCTCTGGACAAAGGGGAGCAGGGTGTCACAGCAATAAGAGGTGAGGAGAGGACAAGCGCAAAGGGACAGCTCAAAGTGGTGTGGCCAGAGAAAGCCTGGCTAACTCCTCAGCCAAGCATGGAAACAAAAGTTGTGTTTGAAAAGTATGCTGAGCAAAGCAGGGGTTGTGATGGGGGGGAGGCCTCACGAAGGGGAGACATGGGATGAGACTGCAGACCATGGGGCCTTGCTGAGCGGGAGGATGCCATCACTGACAGCTTTTAGGAGAACAGGGAGGTATGGACAGTGCTCAGGACAGACTGCCCAGCACCAAATGCAGAGCCTGGGTGAGGCCATTGTCATGGAACTGAAAGAATGGTGTGGGTGGGGGTCAATGATGGAGAAGGAAAGGCAGGCTTGGGGCAGCTGACTGTGTGGGGGCACAGTCCACACACAGTCTCCTGTACAGAGCCTGTCATAGGAAAGGTGCTTGCTGAATACTAGTCTGTGAAATGGATGGGTGGGTGGGTGGGTGGATGGATGGGTGAGTGGTTGGGTGAGTGGATGGGTGGAAGGAAGGGAGGAAGGAAGGAAGGGCAGGTAGATGGGTGGATGGATGGAAGGATGGGTAGATGGGTGGCCAGGTGGATGAGTGCAAGGCAAGAAGGAAGAATGGAACGGTGGGTGAATGGAAGGAAGGAAGGGTGGGGGGAGGGAGGAAGGAAGCAAGCAAGTCAGCCAGCCAACCTGTGGGGGCTCAAGCTTGTGGAATGCACAGAATTTCTTGTAAATCTAAAGGGCCTGAGCTGGCTTGGGCAGGGGCAGGCTGTGGGATGAAGGACTCTGGGGCCTGATAGCCAGAGGGAGCCCCAAGCCACTCACAGAATGGCATGGCTGACACCCAGAGTATGTCCAGCTAGAGTCCTTCTGCTGTCACCCCACTGGCCTCGGCCCCTGCCTGTATGTACCAGGGCAGGCAGCTTTAGCCTAGAGTCTCCTGGAGAGGGCTGGGCACAGGCACTGGCCCTTTGCCCCAAGAAGTCCATCCTTTTCTGCCAGGGGACCTTTCCTTGAGTCACCAACACTACAGCAGCCACTAGTCAGTGTCTTGGGGAGGACATTGAGGGCTGGGGGTGCAGGAAAGGCCCCCCCAGCGACAGTGATCAGAAAATGTCCTCGGATGTCATACTTTCATCAGGAAGGAGATCGGGAAAGGAGCCCTTATGTTAAGTGAAGAACTGATTTTAGGAGGATAGAAAAGGTTACATAAGCAACTGAACTTGTTTTGCAATGGTCCACTCAAGGACATCGCTGACACTCTTTGTTTTTCTCCATTTTAAAAGGGTTCAGATAGCACTGAAAAAATATTGGAATGCAGTTAGTAAAATTGTACCCAATCTCCTTCACTGACCTACAGCCTGCCTTCCTCTCCCCAGGCCTTCTGTGGTGAGCCCTGTTCCACCCACTTGGTTGATTCCTGAGCACCAGCACACTGCCCCACATCCTGAGCTAGTCTCAGCAAGGCCGGGGAGAGGGTCAAAGACAAAGTGAAAGTGCTCCCCACGCCTCCCCCCTCCCCCTCCCCCCACCTTTCAATCTTCTGTGAGCTTCTCGGCATAGCCAGGAAAATCTCCTGGAAGAAGCATTCATCAGTACAGACAGTGTGTGCTGAGGAGCAAAGACAGGGTCAGAGGTCCAACCTGTGAAAGACATGCAGAAAGCGCCGCATACAGCAGGTGCCTAATAAATAAAAAGACATCGACTCTGAGGAGCAGGACGAGGCCTCACCCAGTAGATTTCCACTGACAGCCTTTCCTTTCCTTAAAAGTGACAGCCGGCCGCCTCCCTCCTGAATCCTTAAGCCTTTCAGTGCCCCAAAGGAACAAATTAACCAGAGCACAAAGCAGTGGGTTAACACCAAGACTGATTTTTATTCTAAGAAGCCTCTCTCTTCCTGGGAACCAGATGATCTCTGGAGAGCAAAGGATGCGCAGGACTGGAAGAGGGGCTGAGGAGGGGAGCAAGCTGGAGGCCGGGGGTTTGGGAGGGTGGGAGGTGGGGGTCCGAGGCCAGGCAGTACCTGACGTGCCAGGACTGCTCAGCAGAGAGGCAGGTGGGTGGTGGGGGAGGGAAGCTTGAAGGATGGGAGAGGCCGAGGGGCCTTGGGGCTCCGCTGTGTCAGCCTTTTCCTCCAGGACAGAGAGCATTCATGTTCATAGGGCCCTTGTGACACTTGCTGCTTGTCCCCCTCTCTGGACAAAGGGAAGCAGGGTGACACCTCCCCTTTGAAGGCACCCCAGGGCGGCTTGTGGTAGGGATCGGACATGTGCATGTGTCCTCAGGTAAAGGCATTGTCTTCTCTTCCAGCTCTTCTGTGGTTCATGTGCCTGGAGTAAATGATATTCAGTCCTCCTCCTCAACGGGCCAGAACATGTCCCAGATCTCCCGGCAGCTAAACCAGAGTCAGGTGGCATGGACTGGGAGTCGCCCACCCTTTCCGGGACAGGTAGGAGCATCTGTGAGGGCGTTTCCCCCAGGTGCCTGGAGAGGCAGAGCACCCAGGATGTGCTCTCTGTGGACTGAGGCTCTGAACACAGGGCAGCTCCCAGCTGTAGCCAACTATCCCCTCCCGGCACAGGGGCTCCGACCACCCAAGGACACTCGGAGGCCAGGTCCCCAACCACTGACCCCCATGTGACTTCAGCAGCCTCTTCTCACCAGGGCAATAAGCAGGAAGGGGTCAGGCTCACAGAGACACCCCTTCTGGAGGGAGCCTTTCAATCTTGATGTCTGGCTGCTCCTGCACCAGAAGGCATGAAAACACCCACCTGTGTGCGGCTTTCCACTGCGCCCCCCCCCACCTCCCTTATAGTCTCTATGAGGATGTGTGTTGATTGGGCTGAGGGAGTTTGTAGTACTCATAATGCCAAGGCCTCCGTCACCGGAAGCCAGAGGGCCCCGATCATCGCTGCCCAGGGGAGTAACTTCAACTTACGGTTCTTGGGTCTTCATGCATTGGGCTGATCCCAGGTCTGTGTCCAGCCAGCCGAGAGAGAGCCGTGGGGAGTTACTCTCCTCCCAGAGCAGGCACTGCCACTACCTGTGTCACCTGTTGGGGCCAGAGATGGCCTGGGCATTGGTGAGGGTGGGGGAGGGGTGGGGGAGGTCGTCTGCTGGTGACGCTTTCCATGGCTCTGCTTTGTCCTGCTTGTAGCAAATCCCATCTCAGTCCAGCAAGACTCAGTCATCACCCTTTGGGATTGGAACGAGCCACACCTATCCGGCAGATCCCTCTTCCTACAGCCCCCTCTCCAGCCCGGCTACCTCCTCGCCCAGCGGGAATGCCTACTCCAGTCTTGCCAACAGGACTCCGGGGTTCGGTAGGTGGGGAACGAGAGGGAGAACTCCTGGGAGACCCAGCCAAATGTTTTCTGAACACCCTGAATTCAGGGGGCTGAGCTCCAAGCTCCCAGAACACCTGGGTGAGGAATGGAGGTCTCCAAGCACCTCCTCTCTCTATGTTCTTGTGCTCTGATGGGATCTGAATGCTGTTTTAACCCCTTATGGCCCTTGGTAAGGATTCCAAGTCAAAAATCCTATCATGTTATCAAAAAACTAGACAATAGTTACAGGACAACAAAATGTTTTCTCTCTTTTTTTCATATTGAAAGAGGAACCTATCTCACGTAAGAACATCTATCTATCTTAACTCTGCTGATAAAACCTCAGGCCATAAAGGGTTAGGGAACCGCTCCTCCCCGGGCATTTCCCAGGAGCCCTTGCCTTGCTCACTCTTCCTGTTTGGACCGACCTCCTCAGTGTCTCTCCCAGGGCCAGGACTGCACTTCACATGGGGAGGGCATGAGGGACCTGAGATGCTGGTGACAAGCCCAAGCTGGTACCCGTTTTCTCAGTGCCATCACGGGGTGACATCCCACAGCAGGGCTTGTAGGACTTTTCTCTGCAGAATCGATTATTCTCAGGTGAGCATGAAGCTAATGAGCCCAAACATCCAGATTTCCATGTGGCAAGTTGAAAGCTTCCCTTCAGGCTGCTGATCCATCAGCCTCTTGAAAAATGCCAAGTGGAGCCCCTGGCCACAATGTGGGGTTGGCAGTGGGTCCCCACCTCCCTCTGCCTCCACCACTGACAGCCCCTAGTCTGACCTCCTCAGCCCAGGTTCTTGGGGTGCAGCATTTCCCAACCCCTTGTTTGTGCCTCCCTTTGGAGCCAGCTACCCCTCCCGCATTAGTGCCATTTACTTGTGGCGTGATCTCAAGTTCAGCTTGTAAATATCCCTGCCACACTGACATGAAGTTGAGAAGCACAGTACCCTATTTAAGGAAGGAGTTCGGTGGCATTTGCTTTCAAGTCAGCCGGGCACCAGCTCAGTTATCACCCTGAGATTGGAAGCCTAATTCCCAGGACAGCATCAGCTCCCTGCAGTCACATGTGAGAAGCTTCTCCACACCTGGGTTCCTCACCTGGGTGTGGAGAGACCCCTTCACCTCCTCCTGAAAGTGGGCCTTTGCACGCCCAGGCGCCGTAGGTACCTCGTGCTTCCTGGGAGCAGGAGGGACTATCTGGCACTGATTTATTCTTATTCAACAACCCTCTGGTGCCAGGCCCTGTGTAAGCACTGGAAAACAAGAGATGCAGCCTGGTCCCCATCCAGAGACAGACACATTCCAGAGAAGAGGCAGGGGAGACAGACGGGTGGAGGGAGGGCAGGACAGGGGCAGCAACCAGGGTCTGCACCGGGGCCCTTGTGGCTGCAGGCCAGGATGGTCATCATGGCCGACGCGGCCAGGGGAGGTATCAGAGCAGAGCTGACTCGCATCCCTGGCAAGACCTCAGAGCATCTCTCGTGACCATGACAAGACGGGAGCAGACCACTTCCCTTCCCCTACAATCCTTCATCTTAGCTCTGTGCCTGTGTCTAGTCTCCACTCAGGCCCGAGAGTACACATGGAGGTGGGGCCACGAAGGGCACAACCCTGGGCTGAAGCCACTGCACCCCTCTGATGGCCAAGAACAGGGTCACACTAATGGGGCTCCAGCCTCAGCAGCCATTTTTAGTTGCCTTTGAGTTATCTTGCACTCAGATGATAATGGTGGTAGTGGTGGTGGTGATGATATGATGATGATGATGGTAGTGATAACAGCTGGCTCTGACTGAATGCCTACTGTGTGCCAGTAGATAGCATTCATTTAATGTTCAAGATACCGTTATTATTCCCATTTCATGGGTAAATAAACTGAGGCACAGTGAGGTTGGATAACTTACCCAGGACCCAACTGATAAGTAGTAGAATCATGCGTCTGGAGCCAAGAATCAAACCCAGGTCATACATCTGAGGCCAGGTTCCACTACTCTGTGCTTATCGTCATTTTCAAATCCATTATTCAGGGGGTCTCAGAATTAAGCTGGAATTGGATGTCCCAGAGGATGTCCCTTTACTTACGTTCATGAGAGAGGGGCTGGAGCCCTTCTGAGGAGGGCACAAAAGAGAGTAGAAAGTAGAGAGATGAGGAATTGAGAAGTGTCCAGGGGCCTCACCATCAGTGCATCACGTGAGCCCTTTGGCAGAAGCTGTTTGAGTGGACTAGCATGTCGGCCGGAAGCCAGACTGGAGGAGTGAGCAAGGGATGGACTAGGAACAAGACTGAGGAGGAGAGCAGGAAGGGAGGCTCGGTCTTGGGATGGACAGGAGGAAGACCTCGAGGTGGGTGGTTGCCAGAGTCATCTGTGATGAGGAGGCTGCTGGGGAAGCTCCCAGCGCAGCAGAGGGGGCCCGGACAGAGGTGTCAGGGCTCACATCAGGGTGGAAAACAGCAGTCTGCAGGGGCCTGGAGAGTGGCTGAACACTCCTTCTGGCCATGGAGTCAGCCTCCACTCCTGAGGGCTTCAAGGAGGTGGGGTCCTGGCTGGGAGAGAGGGATAAGCTTTGGCTAAGTTCAGAGGAAAGAGGATGTTTGATTAGGAAAAGGACCTGAGGGGCCATTTTAGCAAGGATGGCTACTTCTGAGGACACAGTGTAAAGGGGTGCAGGGAGCCGGGCACAGTGGCTCATGCCTGCGATCCCAGCACTTTGAGAGGCCAAGGGAGGAGGATCGCTTGTGCCAAGGAGTTTGAGACCAACCTGGAAAACGTGGCAAGACTCCATCTCTATGAAACATTTTAAAAAATTATCCAGGCATGGTATGCATGCCTGTAGTCCCAGCTACTAGGGAGACTGAGGTGGGAGAATTGCTAAGGCTGCACTGAGCAATGATGGTGTCCCTGCACTCCAGCCTGGGTGACAGAGTGAGACCCTGACAAGAAAGAAAAAGAGAGAAAGAGAGATAGGGAGGGAGGGCAGGAGGGAGGGAGGGAAGGAGAGAGGAAGGGAGGGGAAAAGAAAGGAAGGAAGGGAGGGAGGGAAGGAAGCAGGGAACAGAGTCGATGAGAATGGAGAAGTGGCAAAGCAAGAGGCCAGTCTCCAAGAATGGTCAGTTTCATTAATTATTAAATAAACGCAAAACAGTTTTTAAAAAACAGATAGTATTTACATTTCCACATTGGACACACACACACACATACACACGCACGCACAGTGGACACACACCTGACATGTGTACATCTGAGTAGCTTCCCGATGGCCTCTCTGCAGCCGTGGAACCTGCTGTTGGGGCACTGACAGGGTCCCAGACATGGCAGCACCCAGCAGTACCTGTTCTCAGCTAGTTGTCTTTGGCTAGAAGCTGGAACCCAGAGAGGTGGCACGGTGGATACTGACCTCCTGCTCCTGGCTGACTGGGGCAGGCGGGAGGCATGAGGGCCCACTGGGCAGACTTGCTGAACACCACCCAGTGGTGGCTCAGGGGCTGACATCAAGGGACAGCAAGCAGAGAATGTTACCTTTGAAGTGTTTCAACTGCCGCTGGACTCCTCAGGGTGGCTTTGTAGACTGAGTTCATACATTGAACAAGAAACTGGCCCTGCCTGGGGTTCAGCCCATTCTCTGAACCACATGCTGGTTTTGTTCCATGAGCTTTCAGGAGTCAATCCAAAGCCTTTCTTCCTTTCCAGCTCCTCAAACTACACTACTGTCACGTGTGTGTTTCCAATCTTAGCTTCATTTTCACTTGACTTCGGTCACAAAAAAAAAAAACCCCTAGCCACTTGAAATGTAGCATCCAAGGCCGGGCACGTTGACTCACGCCTATAATCCCAGCACTTTGGGAGGCTGAGGTGAGAGGATTGCCTGAGCCC